CCAGCTGCTCTGCCTGCCCTTCCCCAAGTCCGCCACAGGTCAGTTTCAGCAGCGGCGGACTTGGGGAAGCCGTGGGGCAGAGCAGCTGGGGTGCTGCCGGGTTGGTCCTGCAGCGCCACTCAGATTGGCCCCATGGCTGCCGGGTTGGGGTGCTGCCGGGGTGGCCCCACGCCACACCATTCCCCCCCAACCCCTCCTCCTGACCTGTCACAGCCCCCCTGCTGGAGTACCTCCTGATACTCCGGCATATCCGATAATCCGGCACTCCCTGGGTCCGAAAGGCGCTGGATTATCGGAATTCTGCTGTATTTACATGGGGACAAGAAGCCAGTTTGCTCTCAGCTTCAAGTCAGATATGCCAGTCAGTCAGCCCTGGATTTCGAAGGAAGGGTCAGGACAGCAGCTTGTCATCAAGATGGAACACATGGTTGATTATTTTCGTTGTTGTTAAAGTGGCCAGCATCACTGATGTGCACATGATATTGTATCAGCACACAAGAGGGATATGCTATAGTTATTCCTCACATGTTCAGCTCTTCTCCTGGTATGTTATACCATAGTCATTTATCTACTATGAAAATATGCTCAGTGCTACTGCCATGGGCTACTGCTCTGCTATTAGGCAAAGTAAGCCGCAGAGATAGTCGACAGCTTTTTATAGGGAGACAAGGAAACGGAACCACCTCAGACACTTTAAGTGTGGTTTATTTCATTTGTGAAATATTGGTTTCTTCCTCCCTAAAAACATATCTGAAAAGTTTTGGCTGAACTGTAAACGGACATCTCCATTTCTCCTTCTGTTTCCCCATTCGCTGATGATTGTCTTTTCCTTCCCCCTTCCATCTCATGTTCACCAAGACTGTCCAGCTAAATCAAACAGTGGATGAAGTAGCACCTTTGATGCTTCCACCCTAATTTCAGTAGTGCTGCTAATATTATGCCCATACTGCGATGATGGGATACAGTACCTTTTCAAAAGAAATATACAGAACCTTTTCAAAAGAAATAAAGCATTATGGTTTAAAAACACTGGATAAGTCTTTTTTCTGGGGGATGGGAGGGAAAAGAAGCAATGTAATCTGGTATTCAGGTTTTCCTTGGATAAGGGGCGCACACACACACAAACCCTAGATTACCCAACTTGACTTACAATACTTGTGGATCCGTCCATTTAGTTAAACAGAGCTCTTCTATTAATTCCTCTTCATCCAAGATTTCCAGGATTGTTTCTTTGAAAACTTTAAAATCTGTTTCTAATTCTGACAAACTAAAGAAAAAACAAGCAGGCATAAACAACCAGGCAATCCAATTTGCATTACTGCAAAGAGGTAATATTTTCTCGCCAGAATGAGTCACTGGGAAAAAGTTTCTTAGCAATTTGCATTTAGCCACCGTTCTGGGACCAACTCGGCAAAACCTTCATTGACAAGCATTTATTCTGGACATATTTCAAGGTTTCATGGGCACTCGGAGACTGAAATAATTTGATGCAGACAACTGTATTGTCTGTTGTACTGACACATAGCATGAGCCGAATAAGTTCATGTGTACTCGAGTGGTTTGAAGAATGTTTGGAGCTCCTGACTTTACATTACAATGAACATATAAAATTGCCTGGAGATTTTTTTTTTTTTTGCATTATACACAGTTTTATAAAGGTAGACTACCATTCTATCAGCACAAAGTGGGATTTCTTTTTTCCCCAACTAGAGCTCATACATTTGAACTTACAATTAGAAATAAGATGCACAACTCAAAAGTAAAGTTTTCTAGGAAATTTATATTGTACACAATTTTCTGAAGTTCAGCTATACTCTCCATCGCTTACTCTTATTTACCTCTTGCCATTTTGTAGCAAAATGTGTAGTTTACTTCTATCCACAGACAATAGCTTGGGGTCAACTAGATCTTCCAGCGTGTCAATGATCTGAGGTTGCAAAATGTTAAGTCTCCCTTGCAGATTGCTGATCTAGATAATAACATGATCCTTCATAAGAATTAAAATAATCCTTTTAGAACCGTTTGGGCAAGTGACTCCTCTCACTGAACACAGAATACAATCTACTTTTTCAATACACAGAAGATATCAGGAATACAGCTAGCACTGACAAGATAAAGTTTATCTGGATTGCAATAGTTTCTGAACAAAATAACTACATAAAATTAAATACATAATGCTAACTGTACCTAATAAATTCAATATGAAATTAATATGTCTAAAATGTAGCCAACTCTAAGGGCATCATAGTTCCATTAACATTCATAGACATTTAAGGCCAATAAAGACTATTACGGTCATCTAGTTCAGGTTCTTTCAACAATTTTTTGGTGGCCTCAGAGTACAGCCACTAGCTATGGTTGGTGGCTGCTCTGATACATTTTTCTAAAATAATTAACTTTAGGAAAAGCATTTCAATATGCACATATACATGTCAAAAATCTTTGTACTTTATTTAGACAGGGCTATTTTTAGAGTCAATAAAAAAAACCAATGTACACTTGTCTCTATTCTTTATTCCCTTTGCAGAAGAGAAACACAAGGTGCCTGGCACATTTCTTGTCTTATCGTTGTTTCTTTGGGATTTTTTTTAAGGCTTGCTAACTGGTAAGTCTGATGCTGCAAAAAGTGATATTTGGATATTTGTTCATTTCATTTTTCATAGCAGACTAGCAGCTAGTTGAGAACCAGTAAAAAAATGATATTAACACACAAGTATCAATTTTCACAGCAGACTTACTAAGACCTGGCAAACCAGGGGACAAATTAATCCTGGATATGGAGGTGGGTAGGGAGGCAGTGGGGGCCAGAGATGATGATGGGGCCCAGGACCTGCACCCAATGCTGTGTGGTGAGCATCCAGGGCTAAAACCCAAAGTCCCATGATTGGAGGCAGCTGCTTGCCACCCTAGGGTTGAAGCCTGAGCCCCACAGCACTCTGCTATGTTCGGCAACTCACTGGCTATCTGCTTTTCCAGCTTTCATGGACCCACAGTGGGGCAGGTCCCAATGGCTGCGGATGACCCTGGGGGATGGGCCACTGCTTTGCCTCCCCACCCAGCCACTGCCTGGGAATCTGTAGTCACAAGAAAAGTCCCTGGTGGCTGCATTTGAGAAACTCTGATCTAGTTTGACCTACTGCAAACTCAAGTCAGAGAACCACTCCCAGTAATTTCAGCAGCAAACTGTCAGTTTTATGTCTCAGCATGTATCTGTCAATCTTGATTTAAAAACTCCAAGCGATGAAGAATCCATGTCCCTTGGTTAAGTTCTTTCAATGTTAATTCTCCTTACTGTTAAATATTTTTCCAAATCCCCCATAACTCAAAGAAACAACCACACAAAAGAAACCCAAGACCAAAGCAAACCTAAAATATTCCTAAAACTGTAACTAAACAGTTCCAGAACAGAAAAGTGTACTGTCATTTCCATGAAACAACATTTTCAAAAGTAGCTAAAGTAACTCACCCAGTATTGCAGTATTGCTTCTATGGCTCTAAATTCAAAGGGCAAGGAATAGGTAACGAGCTGACCTTCTCCAGCCAGCTGAGATGCTAATTCTTGGAACAGCCAGTGCTCCATATTTACATTGCGATAATCTAGTATCAGAAGAAATTCCGGTGTTACCACAGCCTTCAAAAACTGAAAGAGAAAATGCAGTTAGGCAGCCAGCTAATACTTTATGAAGGTTTCTAAATTTCTCATTGACACTTAGTGCCTTTCAGAGTTCTGTTTGCAATAAAACCACCTGCCATCAAATCACAGGTAGGAAATTTAAAGAGTTTCGCGCTGACTGCATTCTAATCTGCTAACACGCAAAGGTCTGAGGTGCAGAAGTGGTGCAATGCTGCACTAGCAATATTATGGTTTAAAGTGGCTCTTATACGCTTTGTTTTTATTTATTTACATTTTTATGCCACACTTGTCCAGAGTACAGAAGTGCCTATCTTCCATTGTCTCTCCCCTCTCCCCAAAGTATATGGATCTGACAGACAACATCAGAAACATTTCCTTTAGTTAACTCCAGGTGGCCTCTGGTGTTACTGCAGAGACAGAAAGAAAAAAAGATTCTCCGAATTTATGACCTCACCCTATGTCTCTAAAAATTCTCATTGTGCCAACCAAGGGAAAAGTTTTGGCCTTCTTGAATAGAGACGGCCATTTTGCAAAAGACAAGGCTATCATTAACATTAAGTGCAACATTAAGTGCTTCTGGGTCAGTTAGAATCATAGAATCATAGAACCATAGAGCTGGAAGAGATCTCAGAAGGTCATCAAGTCCAGCCCCCTGCTCCAGGCAGGACCAATCCCAACTAAATCAACCCGGCCAGGGCTTTGTCAAGCCGAGACTTAAACACTTCTAGGGATGGAGACTCCACTACTTCCCTAGGTAACCCATTCCAGTGCTTCACCACCCTCCTAGTGAAATAGTTTTTCCTACTATCCAACCTGGACCTCTCCCACCTCAACTTGAGACCACTGCTCCTTGTTCTGCCATCTGTCACTACTGAGAACAGCCTTTCTCCATCCTCTTTGGAACTCCCTTCAGGAAGTTGAAGGCTGCTATCAAATCCCCCCTCACTCTTTGCTTCTGCAGACTAAACTGACCCAAGTCCCTCAGCCTCTCCTCATAGGTCATATGCTCCAGCCCCCTAATCATTTTGGTTGCCCTCCGCTGGACCCTCTCCAATGCGTCCACATCCTTTTTGTAGTGGGGGGCCCAGAACTGGACACAATACTCCAGATGTGGCCCCACCAGAGCCGAATAAAGGGGAATAATGACATCTCTGGATCTGCTGGCAATGCTCCTCTTCATGCAACCTAATATGCCATTAGCCTTCTTGGCTACAAGGGCACACTGTTGACTCATATCCAGCTTCTCATCCACTGTAACCCCCAGGTCCTTTCCTGCAAAACTACTACTTAGCTGGTTGGTCCCCAGCCTGTAACAATGCTTGGGAATCTTCTGACCCAAGTGCAGGACTCCGCACTCGTCCTTGTTGAACCTAATCAGATTTCTTGTGGCCCAATCCTCCAATTTGTCTAAGTCACTCTGGACCCTATCTCTGCCCTCAAGCATATCTATCTCTCCCCCCAGCTTAGTGTCATCCGCAAACTTGCTGAGGGTGCAATCCATCCCCTCATCCAGGTCATTAATAGATATTGAACAAAACTGGTCCTAGAACCAAACCTTGGGGCACTCCGCTAGAAACCGACCGTTGGTAGTTGCTTGCTAGATATTCATTGTCTGGGTTAGCTATAAGGGTCATATGATTAATTTTATATGCAAGGTGATAGATAGCTTCCCCAGGGCTGGGAGTTGTCCCATTTTTAAAGGAACAGTCCTGTATTTAAACCCTCCTGCAGATATCCTGACTTTTTCTTAAAAAAAAAAAAAAAAAAGCAAAATGTTCCATATTTTCTGTCTCCTCCCCATCAGCACCACTGCTGCTTGCCAGATTCCTATATGCCAGCCACCTACCTCCCAGCAGTGAATTGAGGGGGGGTGTGGAGTCCAGAGACTGACAATGGGGGTGAGTGTGCAAGGCTGGTGGCGGGGCAAAGCTGCAGCACTTTGGGCCAGCTGCTCCGCCTGCCCGGTCACAGCAGCCCCCACTGTGAACCAGATCTAGGCCAACAGGGTGGGCCTTGGCCTTCTCCCCCTAGTCTCATTTCCAACCAGCACTCCTTGTGAGCTGTGGTGGCTGGTGAGTGTGGGCAGATGCCAGGTGGCGCCGGTTACATGTTGCCCACCAACTGACCCTTTGCATGCTCCCCCTCTCACTGACTCTCTGTGCTTTGCCTTTCACCCCTCCCAGCTTCACTGCTCTGCCATATCCGCCCCACCCCCAGTGGGGCATATCCCATTCCCTGTGCTGTGTAAAGAACAGTCCCTGGTGGAAGCATTCAGCTCACCAACAGCCTGGCCAGCAAGCACCTTCCTTCCCCCACTGCCTCTGGCTGAACCAGTGCCCCAGGAAACCCCAAACCCTCTGGTCTGTGGCGCTGGTCAAGAGCTAAGCCCTGCACATAGTCCTGTCCCTGAGAAGCCTTGCTGCCCCTCAACTAAGCTCTGGGGTGGCAGGATGAGGGGAACCCTTTCCAGCTTGTTCATGGCCCTTGAGTTCCACAGCAGCCCCTTGTGCAGGGGCTTAGAACTCTCTTCACCCATCTCCTCCACACTGGGTCCTACCCTCAGGGAGCACGAGGCTGCTCTGTACCCTAGGTATCCTCCCCTGCTGAGCCACCCATCTCTGGCTGGGTTCACGGAAGCCCCTGCAATCTTGTTCCCTGGGCCTGGTACACAAGGCAGCCTTAGGGCTCAACTCCTTTCTGCCTTTGCTGTAGCCAGGGGACAGGAGGTGGCTGAGTTATGCTGGTGGCCAGCACCAGCCAAGCAGGGTTAGCTGCTGTCTGACACTGTAAATAGGAAGGGACGAGTTGCTTCCAGCCACAGGAGGCTGGGGAGGGATGAGCTCTGCAAAGACACAGGCCAGGTCATCCCTTCACCGTCACTCCTCATGGCTGGAAGCAGCTCTCGTCTCTTCCCTCCCACACAATGTAGAGGCTGCTGCTAGCCACATGCTGACAGAAATCTGGGGAGGGAGGCATGTGACCTGCATGCCCTCCACATATTGCCTCAGGAAGATGCAGTGCCAAGTACCAGGAGAGGTGGGTCCATCCTGGGGACCCGGTGAGGCGTGGAGGGCAGAAAGCACTGAGCAAAGAGGAACATGGTAGTTGTGAAAGATATATGGAAGTGTGTGCGCGTTACCTCTTCCCGTGTGAACTCTAAAGCCCTAAAGATAAGGAGGTAAATAGAAAGAATCCAAACTACCAATATTTCTTTTTAAAGGGGGTTAAGGTCAACTTGATGTCGATTTGAACATTCTTACTGCATAGTTCTGACTGAATGCCACTGAACTTCCTTTTGAATACAAGTAATTTACAAGATGCCCCATATTCAGCATTGGGAAATACAATCACCCTATAGATAGCCAATATAAAAAAAAACCCTGGACCTCACTAGAACATGACTGTATTGGCAACTAAGACATAGTTCAAGTGTATTCTAACATCTATTGACATTTAAAGATTTAAGCCCCATGGAAGTTAACAACAATACAAATATCATTTTACCTCCATTCTAATGATAATCCTGTTGTTTCTAGTTGCAATGCTCATTAGATGCTGAAATCGTAGATCTCGAGCTTGAAGTCCCAGTTCCTGGTACAATTCTGTTTTCTTTTTTTCTACCAAGACATTTAAAAAGAAAAATCTTATCTGGGTAAATGATACAATTATGGATCACTTTGTTTTGCAGTTCCAGGAAGAAAGTAACTCTTTTGTGCGTCCCCTCTTGATCACCCAATATAATTCTAACATAGCAAAATAGTCATAACTCAGATGGAAAGAGAACTCCCTTTGTTTATTAATAAAAAAGTCTAAAAATAATCACAATAGCAAGCAAAGACAGAATCTTTATGTTAGAACCCATTAGGAAAGCTGAGTTGAGAAAGGCTATCTTTGTGGCAAAACATATGCTAAGAAGCAAGTGGTCAACTTGGACAAAGAGGAAAACGATGAAAACTAAACGGCACCAAATGTGACAGATAGTACTCATGTTGATTAATGCATTACTGGAAGGTGCTCAGATAAAATTGTGGTGAATTCAGGAAAAGAACTTGTGTAGAATAGATGAGCAAAACCACGGAAAATGCTGCACCATCTAAAGATAACTAAACTAATAAAAGCTTCTTGAATTGAACACACTGTCTAAAATAAATTTCCACTTAGACATATTACACAGGAGAGCAAACAGGAAAACAAATGAAAACTCTACCTACCAAAAGAGGTAATGTTTCCTTCCTTGTCAAATTTAATCTAAAGGGGAGAGGAGAAAGAAAAAAACAACAGAAGTAGGTATTTTGTTTTAAAAAACTGCTATAACATACTGGAAAGGGGTTACGTGAAATTGCTTATATTTCTTTTGAATTCTAGTGGGGGTGAATCAGTCCACTTATTAAGGAGGGGCAAGTTATGCTAGACCTTGTCTCTCTAATACTCAAGTAATAATTAATGCCTTAAAACAACATATTTCAAGTCATTTGAATATGTGGATGCTACACATGGTATCTAGAAAGCAGCACCTATAAAAATATTTTTCAGACATAGACCAATTAAGTTCATAACGATGTATTTGGCTCACTCTAATAGCTACTTTCCAGGAGGATAGAAAGAGCAAGTCGGGGGAGGGAGTGACTAGTCAACTAGTGCGTCGACTATCTGACAAACTTTTGCTTTACTGGATAGTCAACCAGTTGATTAGTTGCTTATATCCCTAATCTCACTTCTCTATCTGGGTCTTATCCCCAATGTAGGTCGGGGATGCCCTATCTTCCTTAGAGGCAACGAAATGGCTCTGTGGTGTCATCCCCCCACATAAAGTTCCCACGGTAGGGGCATTTTGGAGGAAAAGTAGAGCAGTGCTGCACTGTGCTTATTCTTGGCCTCCTATGATTTCTATGGGCAGTGCAGACTTAGAGTAGTCTTGAGGCTAATCTAAAATACAACAGCAGCTGGATTTGCTTCTATCAAGGTGGAAAATTCAGACGGCACAAAGGGGGCTTAGATAAATCGTTCACTCTTTCACATTCCTGCACTGATGCGCTGTGGTCATGCGTTGGTATCCTAATAAAAGTTGAGAGATGCTGTAGGTCAGTCTTTCTGCTGGATCTCCTACTTCTGATATTGCTAGTAAACCCTCCAACATCTTTTTGGTGTTTAGAATTCCGACAGTGATCATAGAATCATAAGACTGCAAGGAAGATCATCTTCTCTAAATCTAGCTGGTGGAGGGTTTGGGAGAGGGCTATAAACAGAGGAGGTTGGCTACTAAAAATGTTGCAGTATTAATTTTCTTTTTATTTGAATTCATATTAAATAAACATTTAAAGTCATGCACCTTCTTAATTATCCCTTGTTTTAGCATTCTTTGTTCCATAACATTTTACAAAATATATATATTTGTTGTTAACTTGGGTGCCACTGTGGCACACATCTGAACAAGTGCACATGACCTCAATATTGGTGCACAAGACAACTCACTCTGCTCACGCAAGGAAAATCTTAGAGGGAACACTGCTTGGGAGACAGGCCAATCCTCGCTTACAGACAACCCCCAAACCCGAAACAACTTCTTTCTAGCAACTACGCATCACACATACTCACCCAGGAACCTACCCCTGCAATAAAGTCCATTACCAACTCTGTCCACACATCTACACAAGCAATATCATCACAGGATCTAACCACATAAGCCACCACATCAGAGACTCATACAACTACACAACTTCTAATATGATCTACATCATCAAGTGCCAGCAATGCCCCTCTGCCATGCATATTGGCCAAACTGGACAATCTCTACAACAAAGGATTAATGGACACAAATCAGATATTTAAAATGGGCCCACACAGAAACCTGTTGGAGAACATTTCAACTTGCCTGGACACTTACTAATAGATCTAAAAGTGGGCATTCTCTTACAAAATTTCAGGAACCAACTAGAGAGAGAAACTGTGGAACTGGCCTTCATATGCAAATTTGACACATTTAGCCAAGGACTGAGCAAAGACATCTCTTAGATGGGCCGTTATATTCAACACCCAAATTACATCAAAAGCTAAGTATCAGACACTTACAGCCCACCCTATTAGCCTCAGTTTAACATGGACACATCTTAATTGGCCGTTTTTTTTCCTCCTTCCTGTTTCTCCTCTTTTTCTGCTTTATATTTGTGCCTCTTGCTCCATATTTGTCATCTGAAGAAATGGGTTGTGCCCACAAAAGCTCATGATGCTATCTATATCTTTTGTTAGTATCTAAGGTGCTAGAAGACCACTCTTTTTTTTTAAGGTTTTTTTTTTTAAGTTGCAGAATAATACCGCTACCCTTGAGACTTCTCATCTGAAGAAAAACATCTTGGTACTTTGTTAGTCTATTATAATGCTCCTGTTGCAAATATATTCACATAAACATAGCTTTCCCTCAAAATAGGATTTTTAAAACAGACATGTAATAATATCCTTGTATTAGCAACACATAATGGCGAATGACCAGCTCTGTCCAATCATAGTTTGAGAAAAACACATGCTGATGATCTTGGAAAAATTGTCCTTTGTTGAAGCTTTTCGATTCACTTACCACTGCAAACACAGGGGCTACACTGGCTAAGGTGGCTTGAGAGGCCTCTGTGGCTGAATGTCGAACCAGTTCATCTAAAGAAAGATACACAGCAGTTACAATTTTCTATTATCAGCACACAGTCTTTTGATAAATGCATACTTTTTCTTCTCTTGAACAGTAGGTGGAAAACTGTCATAAGGAATGTGGTGTAAAAGATCCAAACTGACAAAACAAAGGCAACAGTGAAACTGACTACACTTAAAGTGCCATCAAGGCTGCAAAGTAAACACAGTTCCTGCCCTCCCTCCTTGTAGTAATCTTGTTTCACTTGTGAAAATAATAGGTAAAAAAAAATTAGATTAAATTGGAGTATCCTTTTAAAAGCCCAAAGTGGTTGCGATAAAGAACAATACTTTAGTCCTACATTGAGCTCTGTGCAGCTGTACAAGTCTACCTGCATGAAATTCACTGTGGATACTGGGGCCTACATTTGTTCCGTGAATGAATCAATTGTGTAATGTGGCAATGAATAATACCAACTAACTTATATAGTGCTTTTCAACAGTAGATCTCAGTGCTTTACCTAGGAGGTCAGCAACATTATGCCATTTTACAGATGGGGAAATGGAGTGACTTGTCCAAGGTCACTCAGCAGACCAGTGGCAGAATAGGGTATTACATTCTGAATTCTTCCAGGGATCTATTTGCTAAACCTCCCTGTATAAGAATAAGGCCTAACAAATGTTCACATGCTTAACTTTGTGCAAAGCAACCACACTAACTTCAGCAATTTGTTTGAATCTGAAAAAGTGAGTATTTGTGGGGAGGTCTTAATGTGTTTCATACTGCATGGATTATAAATGACTGATCGGCTCAGCCAAAACTTCAAATGAGCAGTGTGTCCATTCCATTGCCTTAGTTAGCTGTTGACTAGGTATACATAAAGCCACTGACTGCATAGCATCCACCCATTTGCCTTAACAGGAGTCACTACACAGCTCCCAAGCAGTCAACTGCAGGATCAGGGACACTATTTACAATTAGGCACCTAAATAAAAGCAGCCTACTTTTCAAAGGAGCCAAGCACTCACAACTGCAAAATTCAGGTCATTTCTTTAAGAGTCCAGCTTTAGGCACCTAGACATGGCATTCTGGCCTAATACTTCAGGAAAAAATAACAAAGCTCCAATAAATTGCAGAAACAAACCAGGTTGACCCAGACGTTCTGATCTCTCACGCAGGTGTGTAATGTCCCCTGATTTTTCACATTAGGCGTAGGTAGCACTAGAAGAGATCATCTAGACAGCCACAAGACTTTCAAAAACGCAATCTGCTTTTTTGAAAGGAAGCATCCAGGCAACCTGGACCCTCTCTTTTGAAAAAGCCCTATTTACGTTCAAGAATGCTTTTTTTTGAAAGAGCTCTTTAGAAGAAAAGCATTCTTCATAAAATGAGGTTTAATGCTGTCGAAAAAACTACCGCATTCTTTTTATTTGATTCCGAAACACTGCGACGGAAGTCTAGACGCAGGTGAAGATTTACAAAAAAAGGCCACTTTTTTAGAAAAAAAACTCTTGGGCTGTGTCTAGACTGGCCAGTTTTTCCAGAAAATCAGCCGCTTTTCCGGAAAAACTAGCCAGCTGCCTACACTGGCTGCTTGAATTTCCGCAAAAGTACTGACTTCCTACTGTAAGAAATCAGTGCTTCTTGCGGAAATACTATGCACTCCAGTGCAGGCAAAAGTCCTTTTGTGCAAAACTTTTGCGCAAAAGGGCCAGTGTAGACAGCTCAGATTTGTTTTCCGCAAAAAAGCCCCGATCGCAAAAATGGCAATCAGAGCTTTTTTGCGGAAAAGTGCGTCTAGATTGGCACGGAGGCTTTTCTGAAAAAAGTGCTTTTGTGGAAAAGCGTCCGTGCCAATCTAGACGCTCTTTTCCTAAAATGCTTTTAACAGAAAACTTTTCCGTTAAAAGCATTACTGGAAAATCATGCCAGTCTAGACGAAGCCTTGTAGTCTTGCTCTCCGGTTGCCCTACAACAAACACAATGACACACTGATAACTAACTACCTATTTCCTGGGGCCAACTTCCAGAGAGTAGTGCTGTAACTGGGCCCTCCAGAGAGCAAGTGTGAAAAATCTAGGGTGTTGGGGAGGTGAGAGATAACAGGGGCCTATATAAGACAAAGCCCTAAATATCAGGCGACCCAGCCGCCCACCCTAGCCCCCAGCTTGGGCCGGGCAGTGGAGAGGATGCTGTGCCGGTGGGGCTATAAAAGCCTATGCCCCCCGCGCAGGCACCCCCGCCGCCCC